TCCGTTACGCTCTATTAGTTCGTAGTAGACTGGCCGCGTAGTCAAAACGAAAAATGCCTAATATCCGGTGTCGCTACGGGAACTAAAATGGGACCCAGCTTTGCTTGCTTGTTTGTTGGATGGTTAGAACAACGTATTTTCGATTCATATGATGGTACCAAACCCGATATGTTTAAGCGCTACATTGATGACTGCGTGGGAACAGCCTGGTGTCATTATGACGAACTCACTAACTTTATATCCTATGTTAATGACTACCATCCGGCAATCAAGTTCACCCACGAAATTTCTGCTACCAAAGTTGCATTTCTTGACATTGAACTATCTATATCTGGTAATAGTATCTCTACTAGTATCCACTATAAACCAACTGACGCACATACCTACTTAACGTATAATTCGTCTCACCCCAGTGCATGTAAACAAGGTATTCCATATTCTCAGTTATTGCGACTACGAAGAATTTGCAGTGATGACGACGATTTCTCGAATCAAGCAGTAGAGATGATGTCATTTTTCAATCATAGAGGATACCCCTCATCTGTCACCAACCATGCTCTTCGTCGTATTACAGGTACCTCCCAAACCGACGCTCTAGAACCCACTGCTACTTCGTCCACTGACAGAGTTCCACTTATGACATTTCACCCTACCACTACCAAAGTTGCTAGAGTCATCAAGAAAAATTACCACATACTCCAGACTGATCCATCTACTAGTGAGATATTTCAGATAAGAAAGTATAATACATACTCCAAGTATTGAAATACACGCCATCGTGTTGGGATTCCCAACACGATGGCGTGTATTTCAATACTTGGAGTATGTATTATACTTTCTTATCTGAGATTAATCAGTGGACCTTTCGAGATATTTCAGCTTCCTCCACTATGTGCATATCGTCGTGATGCCAGTATCCGTGACTTACTTGTACATTCTTCACTTCAACCTATTTCTGAAAGACCTAAAGGTTCGACTACTCCTTGCCATCGACCGAGGTGTAAGACATGTAAACACGTTGTATCACTTGATCTACTTAAGGGACCTTCGGGATACCATGTCATTACGGACTCTTTTAGTTGTATTTCTACCATTTCTACTAATGTTATTTACGGCATAATTTGTAATAAATTTAACTTGATATACATAGGAGAGACCGAACGTCGCATTGCTGATCGTTTTACGGAGCATCTTAGATCTATACGCTTACGTATGCCTGGTTTACCAGTAGCTTCTCATTTTTCTCATAATCATAA